GGGGGAGTTAAAGGGGTTCAGGTTGGAAAATCCATGGCTGGGAAGTGATTACGAATGCATATGCGCACGAATGCAGGCGTAAAAATATATAAAATAAGGTCATCATCTCAGGGCAGAAGTCTTAAGCAAACTTAAAATACTGGTAATGATTTAATGCATTTTACCAGAATTAGCCTAAACACAAATAATAACAATAATAGAATAACATTAACGCGGAATATTGATACGGGCTCTTAGATCTTATGATAAGACACTGTGAGCACAAACAGCACTCGCATATCAAAGCGGTATTTGTCACGCTTCTTCTTTGATCTGTATGTGTGTGTCTGAGGAGGATGATTTAATACAAAAGGGAAAGTGAACGGTATGGTAAAAATATAAAAGACACCTAAATAGGTTGAAATAAAGTGTACTTCTACCACAATATTTCAAGGCCGCCGCTTTCGGCATCAATATCTACGCCATCCTTTGCTTCATCCCATTCGTCATCGTCATTCCCACCCTTGCCAAGCGTAGCTGAGCTTTGAGAATACCAACGCGCGAAAGGGTCTGCCAGACCCGTTAACCCCACCACCTCACGGAGAACGAAAAGATATCTTTGCGCAAGATCGGAGACGGAAAGTGCGAAAAATTTCTCCTGCTCCTGTTTTGCACGGAGGTTAGCTAATGAAGAATTGTTTAATTCGGTGGAAAGCCCATGCTCAGAATGCTTCTTGTTGGGTGTGAAATACCACGGAAGCTCAAAAGAATGGTCTTCGCTTACCGTCATATTTTCTTCTCCACGACGCACCGCTTTTCCGTCTTCGCCGCCCTCCCTTGGGATTCCAAATGAGATGTTCGAATTCGACGTGTGGTCTGCCCTCTTCACACTTTCCCCTAATTGCCCTAAGGTCATATCGGTCAGGCGTAAAAAATGCCAAAAACTTAAACTAGACGGGTAGGCCTGCGCGATCGCTCGCACAAACCTCGTCTGATTAGCGATGCGATAGTGCACAATCAAGCGCTGGATATCGGAAAAAGAGAGAAAATAACGACGAAGATGGAGATCGTACGGGGTGTCCTGCAGCGCGCTCTCCCGATTTAAGGTTAGAATTAGAATCTGGCGAGAATTGCCCATCTCGGGAAGCCCGCTGAGCGAATCCCCGGCCTCCAAACGAGACGAGCAATCCACGCCACTATTCCCTCTTGCAAAGTTGTACAAAATCGCTTTGAGCGTGTTTAGAAGATAAGGATGGTTTAACAGGCTATCCAACAAGACATCATAATCATCCAAAACAATAAAGCCGCGCTCGGTGCGCGATGTCGCGCAGATCGCCTCGCGGACTCGCCGAATCCGCTCCTTCCCATCGGCTATTTCGCTCAGCCGTCGGCAGGAAATAAACCGAATTGCGAAGGAAGCGGAGGAAAAATAATCCTGCGCTCGCGCCACGAGCTGCCGCGTTATTGTTGTCTTCCCGCTCCCTGCTCCGCCTGTTAAGGCGATCACGCCGGAAAAGACATGGCGGCTGCGGAGAACTTGCGAAATAAGCGCCCGAACGCGATCCCAATTCCTCTGAAAGCTGCCGTCGTAATCAATAAAATCCTTTCCGCCCTCTGCCTGGATCTCGCTGAGGTCGTAAGAGGCCATCCCCAGGGCGGCTTTGCCTCGCCGCACCTCACGCACCGCCCGCTCAAAGTCCTCGACAATAAGAGGTGAAAAATCCGATTTAAGGGGCTCGGAGAGATGAAAAGGCGGGATTTCGAACTGCGGACGGGAGCCGTTAGAAAAATAAAAAGAAGAAGGGGGGGGGATTACGAGAGCGTTTTGTGTTCGAAAAATGGCGTGGCTGACGGCGGCGCGCACAACGCCGTCAATATCCGCGCCGCTAAACCCCCACATACGCCGCGAGAGATCGCCAAAATCGACCGCCAACGGGGGCAACAACAAAAGATCGCGGAGATTTCGGGTGAGGGCAAGTGAAATCTTTTCCCGGGCGAGCGCATCGGGCGCGGAGATTGGAATCTGAACTTCGAAAAAAAAGCCATTGCCGGGAGTCAACAAGGCGGGGTCCACCGCCTGCAGTTGTGTGGTTAAGGCCATAATCAAAAGATCCTCTGAACGTGTTGTATCCGCGATAAAGGAAAGAAACGCCTCCGCGGCGTCGTTGGGTACGCGCATCTCGGCATCCGGATCCATAAAGTGGCTGCTCGGCTGAAAAAGCAACTCAAAATCGTCAATAACGAGAATGTGGGTGAAATTTCCATCGCCGTCGCTGCTATCCGATGAATCCTTCGCCGGATGAGGCGGAACCGTCTTTTCCTTCTTGGGGTTGGTCGTTTCCTCAGAGCGGTAGGCCGCCCACACGCTGCGTCGACCCCCTCCTTCCTCCTCGGTGCGGTTAAGAAGAATATCCTTCGCGTGCAAAATCGTCAGTTTTGCCCGCGGCTCGAGAAAACGGGCCACGGCGCGGGCGAGCAAGGTCTTTCCGTTCCCAGGTGGCCCATACAAAAGCACCCCACGGACCTTTTCCAGCCGCCAGGGGTGCGGCAAATTCGATTGAACCTGCGGAAGACGAGGAAGCACCACACGACGAAAGAGCTCCGCCAGCTCGTCCTGCAGG